CGATGTTGTACTGTTTACTGTGAGGTACAGTCGCTGCATGCTCATACATGTTTTACCTGTACATACCGGTTTCAAATGGAACAGTGTACAGCTGCTTCATATACATTTGGTGTCTTTTCAGCACCCTGTCAATGGTTGAGATGCTGACTGTTTGGATGTTTTCAAAGATGTTGTTGTCCTCTATAATGGCACTCTTTATCTCCCTTAGTCTTATGGCATTGTTTTCTACAACCATGGTGCAAATAGCCTCCTCCTGTTCAGGTGTGAAAAGGGGCCCTCTGCCACCCCTGTGAAGTTGTCTTGCAGTCCTATGTGGAAAAAATATAGTAATGCAAAACACAAAATTGAGTAAGATAAAATGTCACTGTTTAAAGTATACTTACTGTATATTGTAAAATGCAAGTGGAATACTGTAATATTGTATGAAGCATTACAGAAAGTATAGAGTATTACAGTACAGTGCCTATTGTTAGATTACACACCTGTTCTGTCGTCGAAAAGTCTGAATGATTGAGGACAGTTGTTCTCCCAACATTTGGCTGCACCCTTCGACCAGCCTCGGCCATTGTAAGCCCATGATTGAGAGTGTGGTCTACAAGTGTGGCTCTTATCTCATCAGGAACACGCATATGTCCTCGGCCTCTCCTGCCTCTTCCTCTGTTTTGCCTCCCAACTCCTCCGCCACGCAACCTCACTCCTCTTCCTCTTCTTCTTCTCTCTGGCTGTTGACCTCGTCCAATTCCTTGTCCTTCCATTGTCAGACATTGAAACATTGTGTTGTGCTCCGGCTATATATATACTTGCCAGTTGATGGTTCATGAGATGCACCTTCGTTAGAGAAAATCAAGATTCACCTGGGAGCAATTTACCAATGCAGGACAGATTTAGAAAAAAACGTCTAATGGAAATGTATAGAAATATGCTTGACATATTATGACAACTTGTTCAACCATTTTGCATGTAAAGACGAGAATTTCAATTCTGATCTGAGAAATGTACCAAAGCGACTGAGAAAAACTGTAAGATCGAACAACACTCACTGGCATCGGTATAGTTTTTGGCCATTTTAAGGTTCACTCAAATCAACTGTGGTTGCCTAAGGATGTTTATGTGAAATAAAACAGCAGTGTCTTTGACAAAATACGGCTATTGATGTAGTGTTATAGGAAGGAAAGTCCTTCAAAACCAAGTGAAACATTTTGCCTGTGGGGATCATTTAGTGCAAGAGTTTCCTGGAATATCTTCAGAGAGCGTAGCCAGTAGGTCACACACACACACACACGCACACACGCACACACGCACACACACACACACACACACACACACACACACACACAGACAGACATAGCTAGCTTTATTTAGCAGCATGACCTTTCAGATATAAGCAGAATATAAAGCGAATAAATTTGTTTTGCATGCAAAAAATGATTTTTTTCTGACCTCAGGAAAGAAAAGGGGATTTTCTGTCCTCCTTATTCAAGTGCAAGTGACACTTGAGCATTTATTATGACACTCACTCAGTATCATGAGTAGCTTTGAAAAGACTCTTCTTGCTGGTTCACATGTGATAAGACTGTTCACACACACACACACACACACACACACACAGACAGACAGAGCTAGCTTTATTTAGCAGCATGACCTTTCAGATATAAGCAGAATATAAAGCGAATAAATTTGTTTTGCATGCAAAAAATTATTTTTTTCTGACCTCAGGAAAGAAAAGGGGATTTTCTGTCCTCCTTATTCAAGTGCAAGTGACACTTGAGCATTTATTATGACACTCACTCAGTATCATGAGTAGCTTTGAAAAGACTCTTCTTGCTGGTTCACATGTGATAAGACTGTTGGGAAAATGAATGTCTTAAGGTAAAGTGCTTTTTATTTCATCAGTAACTTGATTTGATATTGATATTATCATTTATTATTATTGTTACTATTAGTAGTAGTAGAAGTAGTAAATAAATTATTAAAATTACATTACAATTAACATGTATTAACAACTTAATATGATTATAATATGAGGTCTGTCGTTCAAAAGTATTATTTCAGCACTGTTTAAATCTTTTTTGTCAGAAATTATGCTAAATAAATAAATAAATATTTTTTTTCAGGGGGCTTTTCACCAAAAAATATATATCATTTACATTAATAAACCTATACACATAACATTAAAGTTAATATTTATTAACATTTTCTTTTTAATATGCAAAGTGTATATGAGTCAATTCTTTCTGTCAGAAATTATGCTATTAAAATTGTTTGATAGATAGCTAGATAGATAGATGATAGATAGATAGATGATGATAGATAGACAGATAGATAGACAGACAGACAGACAGACAGATAGATAGATAGATAGATAGATAGATAGATAGATAGATAGATAGATAGATAATACATACATACATAAATAAAGAAACTCTTTTTCATCAAAACATTTTATTATTATTATTATCTTAATCATCATCATCATAAAATATATTTTTTTATTTACTGTTTTTAAATATTAGTATTTTAGAAGTTTTTTTGTGACATATTATGCTATTAAAAATGTTTAATAAATAAACTCTTTTCAGAGGGCTTTTCACCAAAAGCTGGTCATCTGATATTCAGTTAGATGGAAAAACTGCTATAGTGACTGGAGCAAACACTGGGATTGGGAAAGAAACAGCCAAGGATCTGGCAAAGCGAGGTGGGTACTGCGGTCAAATCAATACTTACTGTGGAAATAACACATCGAGCCTTTTCATAGAGCCACAGATGAAATATATTAGATCTGACTGCATAGCCATTTGAACTGATGTAGGCCTATCCAGACCAGAATAGTTTTTTTCTGAAATTGCTCAGAAGAATGGACCAGTTTTTCAACTAATGGAAGAAAACTTGTCATTAATCCTGAGGCGCACGGGTGATCCTGGCCTGCAGAGACCTGCTGAAGGCAGAACAGGCAGCCAGAGAGATCAGCAGAGATGTGGAGAATGCCAGCGTGGTGGTTCGGAAACTGGACCTGGCCGACACCAAATCCATCTGTGATTTTGCTGAACTGATTTACAACAGTGAGTTATGGTTGAAGAACATTTTTCTCTATAATACATTTAATTCTGATCAATTTATTTTCCTTTTATTTTATTTCAGCTGAAAAGTCTCTTCATTTGCTGATTAACAATGCTGGTGTGGCAATCTGCCCATATTCAACAACAGCAGACGGTTTTGAAACACAGTTTGGAGTCAATCATTTAGGTTTGATGAAGTGCACTAGTCATTCTCATTCTTTCAAAGAATATCAAAGAGTCCTTATTTGTTGTTTAGAAGTAATGGAGATTGTTCACACTTGACGTGTGATGAATGACTCCTTTTCTTCCTCAGGACATTTCTTTCTTACGTTCCTCCTTATGGATCTCTTGAAGCATTCAGCTCCTTCCAGAGTGATTAATGTCTCCTCATTGGCCCATCCCATGGGAAAGATCCACTTTGAGGACCTGAACAGTGAGAAAAGCTATCATCCCGTGAAGGCCTACGTACAGAGCAAACTGGCCAACATACTTTTCACGCGAGAGCTCGCTACAAGAGTGGAAGGTAAGAGCAAGTATGTCGTCATGCATAAAACATGCAAAATGTGATCCAAAAATCTGATTCCACATTGAATCTGGGATTTATTTCTAACATTTTAGCAACCATAGATTTTTTTCGTCTGTGAAAAACAACCAGAGTGTCCAAGCTGTCAATGGCTCGCATTCATTTTCAGTGTATGAAAAATGACACAAGCGTGAATAAATGGCTAAATGGTGACTAAGTTTTCAATTTTGGGTGAACTATCCCTTTATGGATATGAAAATATGTTTGAATGGTAACAGTCTGTTTAGACTGTTTAAACCATATAATGCACGGCTAATTCATCAGTATGATATCCTAACATGACTGTCTCATGTTTTAGCCACAAGCATTCTTCATTAAGGCAATTTGAGCATTCTTGCACTTTGTGAAAATAAAGCAAGCGTTTCACTTCTCTAACTGTAGCTCATGTAGTGTGACATTCAGCTCTGTTTCTGTGGCAGAGATGGGAGTGAGTGTTTATGCTGTGGATCCAGGCCTAGTAAAGACAGACATCATCAGGCATTTGAAGAAGTCTCTGCAGTTCTTTGTGAAGACATGTGGTTTCCTGATAAAAACCCCTGCAGAGGGCGCATATACCACCCTATACTGTACCCTCACCCCTGACCTGCCCACTGGAACCTACTACAGGTTTGTTACAACTACCATAGCTGATGCTAGTCGTGCTCATGAAACAACAACATCATTGACCATCTTTACCATAAGCAGCATGGTTCACATGATTTTTATTTTGCACTAGTGATGCTTAAGTTGGCAGCAAGCAGAATAACTGCTGTGATGTTTAATAAATATTTCCACTCATGATCTCTCACAGTAACTGTGCCATGGCTCCATACTCCAGGGCCGCCAATGATGACAACACTGCTATCAGACTGTGGGCTGTCAGCTGCCACCTGCTGGGAATTCGCTGGAAATGAGAGGATATACGACTCCCACCACAGCCTTTGTACCTAATAATGGCCTTTTATGATTTATTATAACCATTTATTTCAACAGCAGTCCGGTCATCTCTGTCTTCCTATGTTATAATAATTTAATTTGCATTGATTCAGAGATACAAGTTTGAAGGTTTCTTGCCTTACTATGATTATTAAGACATACAGTACTTCATAACTTTCTTATTATAAACAGCTATAGTAATGGCTAAATATCTACTTGCTTGAAAAAAAGTCAAATAAGTTTATTGTCATTTGAAAATGAAATACGATCAGCCACTGTAAGTAGGCTATGTAACCTACAAGACAAATTCACACTAAGCTGGTAGACACAGTACTAGAAATAAATATGAAAGGGTAATAATACACTCAAATATAATATAATGAGATAGAAATGTCTTGGGATGGAGTCAAGGGGTTGGTAAATGATTCTGTTAGTAAGGTTAGTGTAGCTTACAGATAGTTAGTATACACTCTAAAAAATGCTGGGTTAAATATAACCCAGTGCTGGGTTAAAAAGGGACAAACCCAGCT